TTTTTTTTTTTTTGGTGGAACCGGGGATTGAACTCGGACCCTTAGCTCTTACCAGGGAAGCGCTTGTTCCACTGAGCCATATTTTTACATTCTTAATAGATGTTGTGTGTATATCCATTAACATGGATGAATCTAAGAAAGAATGTTCAGGGGAAAAAGCAAGCCAAGCAAGAATATATCCATTCTGATACCATTTATATAAAGTTTGAAAAAGAAAACTAAACAGTATTTACAGGTGGCTATCCATAGTTATCTGAAGAAATTAAAGAATGATGACACTAATTCAGAGTAGTATTTATGTATAAAAAAAGAATTGAGCTTGGAGAAGAACATAAGGGGTCTTTAAAATACTAAGTTCGATTTTCAGATTGGATTCTTGAGGATTTTTACAATTGTAATTTATAATTTGCATATTTGTCATGTATTCTTTCATCTAGAAAAACTCATAAAAATAATAAGGGCGCTAGGGCAGTAGTGACCTAAGCCCTGCCTGGCCAGCACAAGGGCCTGGGTGTTATCCCCCATGCTGTGTGCCGTGCTGGCCCCACGCTGAGCCGGCTACCACAACTGGCTGTTGTGACACATGCCTGTGATCCCAGCACTGGGGAGACTGAGGCAGGAGGATCACTACGAGTCTGAGCTACGTAGCAAGACACTGTACCAGATAGATAGATAGATAGATAGATAGATAGATAGATAGATAGAGGTAAATTTTTTTTAAGAAAAAGAATAATAGTAAAATTCAGTTATACATTATAAATATAGTTTAAAAGCTGCCACAGTTATTATTCTACTGTAACTTGCAGCAGAATTTCAGTCGCGTGCACGCTCATATTGCCCCCCACTGTGTGCTGGCAGCTCAGGCTGTCACTCCAGGACTCTGCTCTTCAGTGTGACTGGCTGGACCTTTACCTGGTGGCGCTTTGGTCTGCCATCCTCATCTCCTCGCTGCTTGGGTCTGCCAGTTCACTTCAGAATCTCTGCTGGGGATTGCATTGTTGTGACATGTTTGGTTTTAGCATCTATTTTATAAAACTGATCTTTAAATTTTAGAAATTTTATTTGTCAGTGCTGACAGATATTGGGAGGAATGGTTAATAGTATTAAAAAGCAGACCCCCCCATTTATAATTATGTTTTTAATGGCCCCTCCTTGATGATACTGGAGATCAAACCCAGTATCACACACTAGTCAAATACGGAGCTACTGAGGTATGGCCCAGATCCTACCCCCAACCCATATTCCTATATTAATAACTCTGTTTCTAAAGAAATAGTGGACCAGGGAGATAGCTCAGTAGCATAAGCACCTGCCTGGCAAGCGCAGCATCCAGCGTTCAACCTGGAGTACTGCAAAGAAAAGAAAGATAGTAAGGTTGGAACAGGTATGAAAATGTGTGTGTTATTGCGTAACATGAGAATGAACATTACATTTTCCAGCCCATCTTCTGAACATCATTCACTCTTTCTGTTGGATGCATCATTTATCCTTTTTCCAGGATTGAATATGATGCGTATCGCACTGATTTGGAAGAATTGAACCTTGGACCACGTGATGCAAACACTTTGCCAAAAATTGAGCAGTCACAACAGCTGTTCCAAGCACATAAGGAAAAATACGATAAGATGCGCAATGATGTTTCCGTCAAATTGAAATTTCTAGAAGAAAATAAGGTAAGTTTGCGCTTTACCTTCTAACATCTTTCTGTGGCCTTTAAAATAGTCACCCAATGGGCTGGTGAGATGGCTCAGTGGTCTAAAGCACCTACTTAGCAAGCTAAGCTAAGCGAAGCACAGGGACCGCGGTTCAATCCCCCAGCACCACATGCCAGCCAGCCCCTCCCCCTGGTGGGCTGAGCTGGCCACACACACACACACACACACAACACACACACGCCTATAAATAAATAAATAAAATTAAAAAAAAATAAAATAAAATAGTCACCCAAAAGAATAGAAAACGTTTTGTTTCTGTTACTGACTTTTATGACAATTACAAGAAAGAAATCTCATGTTTGTTTTTAGAACCCAGAATACAGTTAGTTTTCTGTCGTAAAAGTCATCAACTATACTGTCTTAGTCTTTTTTATGTAGCTCCTCATAAAAATGCATTTAACTATTGATCTTCAAATTAATGTTGGTATTGGTAGCATGTATTTTCAATAGTTAAATAATGGTAAATTCTGCTCTGAATATTTTGAAGCCTTTTTATTAATGGTTCAGATTCAGATTCAGATTTCAAGGAGAAAACGACCACATTCTTTTTGGGCATTGATAAGTGAAGAATGATTAAAGGATCCAGGGTAGGGCTTCAGTTAGCATAACCTAAAGGATAGGGCAAGAACTCAGCCTGCTGCACTGCTCCCCCACAGTGTGAGTACATGTAGAGGACAGGAAGTGTGAGGGTTGAGGGCTGGCTGCGGCGTTCCCCTCAGGAGCGATCTGTCCGGTGGGCGGGCTCTGAGTCTGGTTTAGTAAAGCACAGGTTCCCATGTGCGCCCCATCCTCCACCGTGTGCTTGTTGGGCTCTGTGTTGGGGATTGCAGTCCTGGCAATGTGGCGCCCGAAGTGAGCATCGAGAAAGGGTCAGGAACGTACTGCTCAGTGCTGGGACGCGGCCTCACGCCTTCCCAAGTCCCAGGGGCTTTAGCCCGCTCTCGTCAGGTGGCGTCTTAGAGCAGTTTTCAGCTCTCCCAGGAAACAGTGATGAGCAGTGTTTATACTCCCTGCTGGGATACACCAGGGCTGTAGTAGTCCCGTGTGTCAGTACCATTGTCCTTAACATTTTCTCTGCAGTTTAATACATCTTCTTGGCATCTACCCACGCTACCAGTGTCACTAACATCCTTAGCCACTACAGGTGAAGATTACTCACCTGCAAACATTAGAGTGGCATGAAACGAAGCCTTACTAGTTTCAGATACCTGGCACGAGCACAGCACACAACCTTTGGTGTTTGTTAGCCAATGTAGCATGACCTTCAACTCAGCCATGTGTTTGTGTGTGTGTGTGTGTGTGTGTGTGTGTGTGTGAGCTTCACGCTTCTACATTTTGATGGGCATGCATGTATCACTAGATATGGGCATTGTATGTTTTAAATATAAAAATATGCTTGAGGGCTAGTGAGATAGCTTGGTGGTCTAGGCACCTGCCTGGCAAGCATAAGGGCCTGGGTTCAGCAATCCCTGGTAGCATGCTGTGTGGCCCCTGAAACCGGGCACAGGGGTGGTGGCACGCACCTGTAATCACAGCACAGGGGAGGCTGAGACAGGAGAATCACTATGAGTCTGAACTGCATACTGAGACCCTGTACCAAATACATAAACAATTTTTAAAAAATGTGTGACATTCTGCCCTATGATCACTGTATCAGGTAGTGCTAAAAGAGGCATATTAGAGAAATACACATGTGCTAGGGAAGCAGACTGACAGGAGCGTGCAGGCTCACGAGCTCAAGTGGACGGAAGGAGCAAAGTCACTGGGGTGCTGACTGCACCAGGCCTTGATCACCACAGGGCTCTCGAAGAAGGCGCCCTGCTGGCGCCAGGCCAGCTATATAAATTTTAAATGTCACTCGTGTGGATCTCACTTCTAGCTTTGTGTTGTAAGCCCTGAAGAATTCTTTTAAAATTGAAAAGTGGCAGGAAAAATAAAGATTTAGAAATGCCAGTCACTGTTGTTTCAAGCAAGAAAAAAAAAATCTTGGAGTGCTCAAACCCATAAGGACTCTCCTACAACCAAATAAAATGATTGGAAGCCTAACTAGAGGGGCTCAGCAACAGACAGCAGTTGTTGCAGAGCGGGCAGGGACTGAAAATGCAAATAGGAGGCTGGTTTGGCTCGCAGGGAGTGAGGTCGAAGGATAGGAATTTTTTCTGTTTGACCCACTGTTTAATTTGAGACAGCAAAATACTCAAGAGGAAGCGGTTGGTAGGAAGTTGATGATGTGTGTTTGGAGTTGGGATGAACAAGGTCAGGGCTCAGATAAAGGTTTGAAAATCAGGGCTTTGAGAATAATGTCATCACCATTTCTCTTTTTGACTGTAAAATAAAAATAGAAAGTTGTTTGTTTTAAGGGAGGGATCTTATACTCTTAGATTATGTCTCAGTCCTTACAGATTTCCATAACAAAGCACCATCAACTACATAGCTCATAAATAGCAGAAATGTGTTTCTCACATCTGTGTGGCCTGGGAAATCTGAGATCAAGGTGCCAGCAGACTGTCTCTGGGGAGGGCCTGCCACCTGGCTTATAGATAGTCTTTTGTGCTGTGCCCTTGCACTGGAAAAAGGCAGCAGTCTCTCTGAGGTCCTGAGGGCGGGCACTGATTCCATTCACAAGGACTGTCTCCCCTAGGGCCCCATCACTGTGTAAGGCCTCACTTCCTAGTGCTGGTGCCTTGGTGGTGAGGGTTTCTAGCAGGCATGTAGTGGGGGAGCACGTTCTGAGCAGGCTACATACAGCCTGCGGTTTGCCTCACTTTGGCTTCCCATAGTTGGCATTGAGCTGGATTTCAGTGTGGACTTAGTAATCAGCTCTTCTAAAATAGCGTTTATGTGGAAACTTTGGTCTTTTTGTCTTTTTCTTATATATAAGAAGATACTGTCACTGGTATTTTAAGCAATAGTAACTACAATTTGGATGAAGGCTTAGATCCCTGAAAGAAATTTAAAAAAATTTTTGTTATTGTCATTGAGCAGCAGTCACTTTTTTTTTTAAATTTATTTACTTTATTTATTTATTTATTTGTGTGTGTGTGGCCAGCTCAGCCCACCAGGGGGTGGGACTGGCTGGCATGTGGTGCTGGGGGATTGAACCGTGGTCCCTGTGCTTTGCTAACCTTGTTCTAAGTAGGTGCTTTATACCACTGAGCCATCTCATCAGCCCCACTTTTATTTTTAATAGCTTCAAAAATGAAAGGATAAACAAGCTGTTAAGTGTAGGAACTTGGCATGCCAGGCTGCCTTGTTGGTGGTGTGAAACACTTCAAATCTGGATGGTTTTGTTGTGTTTTGTGAAACTGCAACTGAATTTATAATTTAGCAGGTCTGCTTGGTGTTAGATAATTAACTTAGTCCTTGAATTTTAACAAAATACACTTTTTCTATTTTTTAAGTACAGTATATTGAAGCATAAACTTAAACACTGATTGTTCTGTTTTGTAATTTGGTGACATCTTAAAGACCTGGTTAACAGGTTTTTGGACCTTTTTCTTTTGAAGACTGCTTTCTGTTAGTTCTCGGTCACGAGGGGAACTCTGTAGTAAACGGCTGGTAGGGCACATGCTCTACCGACTAGCCCTGCCCCCAGCCAAGTGCTCTTCTCTGTGAGAGGCAGGTAACCAAACAACCGCAGCAGTGAGTAGTTCCCAAGTAAGCAAGTGGTCATGAAGCCCAGGACTTGGAGTCCTGGGATGGCAGTAATAAGCTTAGTGCTTCCATGTGTGTATTTATCATGAAACTTGAGTTCTACTTATAATCTACATTTTCTAGCTCTCTATCCATATTTGTGTTTGCCTTTAGCCTAAACAACCTTTATTAATTTCTCATACTCTCTGTTTACTGAACAACATTGAGTTGCGTAGCAACTTTAAATATCTCTCCTTTCAGAGACCTTTAAGTATGTGTCGTTATCTTTTTGTGAGTTAATGCAGTTTGCATACCAGTTATGGTTCCAAACAAAACATAGACCGCGGTGTTTAAGAGGAAACAAACAGACCTCTCACTGCTTTGTGGACTGTGTGTAACAGGTACCATGCCTTCCTTCGCAGGCCTCGTGACAGCTGGTCGTATTGCCAAGTGGAGAGTGTTCATTCACCAAATGTGTGTTTGCATTCTTCCTAGAATTTTAGCACACTGGACAAGCCTCAGGGGCCTGGAAGTGTGCGAGGGTCCCCTAGGAGGGCTGAGAGGGCAAGTCCTTCCCTCCCTCTCCTGGCACGGGTGAAGCATGCCCTCGTAGAGACACTTCTTGTCTGCAGTGTCGCTGGCGTAGAAAGAGGAAGCAAGAAGGTAGAGAAAAACACCCAGATCAACATCAGCAACTTACTTTATTTTTTATTAACTCTTTATATTTATTTCTATAACTGAACACATAAACAGTAGTATTTGAGACACAAATAAAATAGGTAGATATAAATAGATATGTATATATGTACATAGAGTAAAATTAAGTCATAGAAGTGAAAGAACCCTATTTGTTTCTGAATAAAAAGTAAAGGGATTGAAATCTCTAAGCATGTTAAGCGAGTAGGGTGTTGGTGATGCTGAACACAAGAAATGGCCTTCATGCGTCCCCTCCTCCGTGCAGCTGGCTGCCTGTGCTCCATCATGTCATTGTTATCGTGTAGTTATTAGTTCGATAATAGTTTCATGTTGCTCTTGTTCTTTTTTGCTCACTTAACAGACATTTATCATGCATATACTATGTGCCAGAAAGTCAGGGAGTATTCTGGGTATCAATGCCTCGTAAGAAAAATAGCCTTAGTCAGATCACACCATGTGTATATGTGTGTGTGTGTGTGTGTGTGTGCGCGCGCGCACGTGCGTGCATGGTGTGTGCTCTTGTGTGTGTGAAAGTGTAGCTGTGACTGGTGCCTTCCATGAGAGGCACATGATTAGCTGAACTCCCAGGACTGTAATCCCAGCTGCTTGGGAGGTTCAGGCAGGAGGAT